ACAATTGTAAACCGCTTTGAGACTCAGATCTGCAGTGAAAAGGCGGTATATAAATAAAAACTTACTAACTTACTTACTTACTTACATTAGTTGATGACTAATTCAACGATCAATAAGTTTTGATTTATTGATTAACTAACAGCCCTATTGAATTCAATAACCTCTTCAGTTCAACAAATGCTGAGGGTTATTCTTGAGGGACGTTGGGACTCTTTACATTTAACAGGTTAAAAGGGTCTCAGTACAAATAGTCTCCTCCTTATTGACTTGTGTTTATGTTTTAGTCTATATCCCCAGGGGAGGACTGGCCCAGTGTGGTGACTTAACATGGGACATTGGTCATGCTGTCTCTAAGCAGAGGTCAGTGAGGTCGTGAGGGCAGGGAAACCCACAGTGATGAAGACTGTTTGATGGCAAGAGAACTGGATAGGGAAGACAAATCAATGTCTGTGGTCAATCAATATTACGCAATATTCCTCCTCCGTCGAGCAAAGACGTGTCTTAGTCCGCTCCTGCTTCTGAACGGCTTGCTATCTCCTGTTTTTGTCTTTTTTCCTGGAGCTTTGCCACAGACAACTTTAACAGAATGGAAATGATTAATTGGTCCCTCAACGCAATTGATTCTATCTTTTCAACACGTAAGCGTGGGTCTGGAGAGCCCGTGTGTCCGGACGGGACTTCACCAGCGGGGTATACGCTTGACAGCTGGAACAAGTGGCAGCCCCTCTGTCTGTCGACCCTGTCCATTGAAGATTCGGAAGACGTATATATCTTTGGCATTTTGGTGGTGGGAATCCTCCTGTTTGGGTTTGGAGCGATCCTCTTCTACCACAAATTCGGAGGCATGGCAGTTCGCAAGATTCACGACCTGCTGGCCGATAAAATTGATGGGATGTACAAGGAGCTTAGCCGTGTCGTGGTTGAGAGTGCCGTGTCTGGACAAAGAAGGGTGGTTTTGGTGGAACAGTTGATCAAAGACCTCGCAGCTCGTTCACTTGATGGACATAAGACTTTGGAATTGAGATTGAATGACATTGTTTGTCAGGCTTGATCTCTCTGACCCGGCTTGGATTTGCCCCTGTGTACGGAGGTCTGAGGGCACCGGAATTCGGTTTAATTGGAATTAATAGAATATCTGCCTGCTTTTGACTGCGACATTGCAGGCGATGTGTTTTTCTCCTCCTGTGGCTTCTCTCCACTCTTATCTCACATTCCTCAGCCAAGGCCATAAACAAGGTCCCACAATCTACAACAACTCACACTATTTCAGTCTTCAGCAAGGATCCCCCACCCCCGCCTCCCTCTACCTATCCATCTTGCTCCCTCCCTCCCCTCCATTCCTTATTGTTTTCCTACTCACCCCCTCCCTGATCCCGCCCCCCTCTGACAGCTACATTGGGCCGGCCGAAGAGGTGCTCTTCCCGAGAAAAAAATCCGTGGTTTATAAAAAGCACAATGTGTCTATCCAATTGTCTGTGAACTGTATGTTATTGCTCTCTGCTGTTTCTTGCTGCACACAGCGCCGCAAATGGCGAAGTGGCACGCTCTCTGCCAAAACAATTTCCAAGTGATAACTTTGTTACTCGCGTGGCAATAAAAATGATTCTGATTCTGATGATTCTGATTCTGAAAAATCACTTTGTCTTAACCTGTCTTCACCTTTGCATTTGGCCTGTCTGCACTTTTAGATTGCCTAAATGCTATCCCTCTTTCAAAGAAGACCTTGTTTTTCCAAAACATAAAGTTGCTGACTTCCAGCATGGCACTCTGCGTTGTCAGCACTGTGCCCATCACTCTTTATGACTGTGGACAATATTGTGGTTGTATAACAGTGGCAGAACAAGGTTAGCTCACACATACAGTATGACACAGGGACTGTGTTCTCGGCAGGCAAGAGATTCTTTACTGAAGATGTTGAGTATATTCAGGTTTCTGTTTTTACCTCTCTATGCCAACTGCCAGTCCCGGCGCCAGCTCAGTATAGAAGGGGGGGCGGCTGAAAAACGTGGAGGGGCAATGACGTCACGTGTATGCATGCATATGAGAAAACGTATGCAACTTGTATGTAACTTTTTTAAAATATAAGCCACATAGATAAAACGTGATAACAAGTTACAATAATGTGTTGTAATTAACACAACAAATAAAACACTTACAATAACACACGGCCATAAGGAATAATTCTTGCTTTAACGCAACGTTCATTCTAACCCGACCATTAAGAAACAGATGAAGACTCAGAAGTGATACACATGTAGCACAGAGCAACATCAAAACACTCCAAAGATCACACTCGCTGATCTAACGCGTAATCAATTGGTAACAAAGCAGTAACAAACATTGGTAACAAAAACAGTAGCATCAACAATATACGGATGATAAAATAACCAGCTCTTATCTTTAGTAGAGTTGCAGTCTCCTCTTTTCTGATGAGTGAAACTTGAACTGGCTTTTCAACTCCGAGGTCTTCTGGTAAACAAAGCTGTTGCTGCGAGTGCGATGGTGGCCTCGCCGCCCCGAACACCGCTGAACCCGGGTCAGAGGCTGTTGGCACCGGGGGAATGGCGGGAGAATCACTCTCCTCCATTTGCCTCGGCACCTGCTGCCATGGCCTCGGCAGGTGCTCTTCGGCTTCTCCGGTTCTCCTGTAGCTGCTGCCAGGCTGCGGGGACACTGCCGGTGTGGTGTTTGGCTTTTTCAGCCATGTACGAATGTCCATTTTTATCAGAAATGAAGAGCTAACCCTTAGCTGCTGGCTGGTTACAGGCAACTCCGTACGGCGGGAATATGCACTGATAAGGTCATCACTGCATATTCCCACCAATTGAGTGATGGGTAACATGGGTTCAACTATAATCTGAATTTTAATTTTCAAAACTGTTCATTAGAGTCAGTGGAGTTTCTTCTGAGTTTCTGGATTGTTTTGAATACACAAACTGTGAATAATATATATACACTTCTTTATTTAAAAAAAAATATATATACATTTTGACTGAAGGGGCGGGACTGTCGGCGTGGGGGGGCAACGCCCCCCCACGCCCCCTCTTGACGCCGGGACTGCCAACTGCACTGTCTTTGTAACTATGAAAATCTTTCACATAGATGTAGAGTTTGGTAAATGTGAAAAGACTGTAAGGCAACTTTATTTCAGCTTACTGTCACATGAATAGTAATTTTAAACGGTTGAAGAATAAAGCAAAATAAATCAGAAGACGTAAAAACCCTGAGCCTCCCTCTTTGAACCCACTGTCGATGAATCCTCTGCCGATAGCATGTCTGCACTTTCAGGTCTCTGCTCTACTTCCAATATATTTTCACATCACTCATAGATGTGACTTTATTGGTGTAAAACTATTATTTATAACTAACAGATAAAAATGATAAAACCCTAAAAGCTGTGTGAACCTGACTTGATATTTCAAAGGAATGTATGATGTAAACATGGCTGGTCCTGCTCTCCATCACACAGGTGTATTTTTAGCTCTGCTGTCTTCTGCTCCCTCTTAATCTACACTATGTGGAGCCAGCTCTGCAGCATTATCTAATTACCTCCGTTCTGCTGGTAAAAGCCTTTTCTACATGGATCCCTGACCTTCACTCTATGTTGTGCATGTGAAGTAAACAAATGTTAACAAAAACCGCAAGCAGCGTTCTAGTCCTTAGCGACTGCTTGAGGCTAATGTTCAAGAGGATACTGTGGCGCAATTTCAAAGAACACTAACAGTAGAGAAAGCAAAAGTACGAGGGGTTTTATATTTAGGGAGGTTCTGGGTGATATGGCCGACCTGCTGCTGGTTTTAGGATTGGGTATGTTGAATCGGGATCCTAGACTCCGCTTTCTATATTCAGTCACTTGTACAGAGTTCTGTTTTGCAATACCAGACACTTTGTTTACTTGTTGATCTGGAGCAGTTTGAATAATACTTTAATACTGCATTTCTATCAAGCCCCTTCTATAAGCCCATGGTGTAAGAGCTGCTAGTCTGTTCCAATCATAGCATTATCCCAGTGATGCTGATGAGAAGGAAAATTGAATTAAGTGATGTAGTTAACAAGATTAACATATAGTGAAAAGAGCACATGTTTTCTAATTGGCCATGATGGTATCGTCAGTAACGGAAGGATGGCAATTGTTTAGATTATTGTATACATTATCATAAAAGGTTAACTCATCATAATTTACTGATTGTGCTTCCTGGTTCTATAGTCAGAACTCGAGCTGGAGCATTTTGAATGTACTGCAGCGGTTTTACAACTCGTTTGGAGAGTCCTGTGAGCAGGCCGTTCCAGTAGTCGATCCCACCGGAGACAAATGCATGGATAAGAATCTCCAAGTAGACACTGCTTTACACACTATATGTTTTAATTTTGGCAACGTTTTTCAGATGGTGATGTTACTGATTTGATGTGGGAGTCCAGTATTTCCCTTAGCTTTCGGATCTGATTTGAAGGTTTTAGGGAGAGAGACTGGAGATGACAGATGACCAAAGACAATCATTTCAGTTTTGTCTGCGTTTAGCTGAAGGAAGTTGTTTTGCATCCACTCACTGATCTGTTGGATACAGTGAAGGAGTGAGTCCACTGGTCCATGTTCTCCTGCAGTCTTCTGTCATTAACATTATCCACAAGTTTATTAAAATCACCTGTAACGACTAAACCCTCAAAGTCTGTGCATACAACTGAAAGCAACTTACATGTTTGGAAATGCAGCTAAATGGCCCCCCCTGCTGGACTTCCTCCACTTTCTCAGTTTTACTCTTCCGCACTAGTTTCTGCTGATTGTCTGAACCTTGTGCTTCCATAGAACATACTACTTTTTATGATTCTCTTGTAATAACATGTATTAAAAAACATGTTTTAATCATTGTTGTGGTATTAAAGTTGCATCATATATTTATTAAGTCTCTGAGAATTAAGATTGAGTTTTTGATTTTAATAAATCCTTTGATTAGAAGCACAGCAGTAGTCCTTCAGAAGTCAATTGTCTGTATTTTTTCCAGCAGACCCTGAACGCACTCCAAAGATGGGGTCAGAGATGGATGCAGCTCAACAACTCAAGCTGAAAGACCGACAGCGCTTCTTTGAAGAGGTTTTCCAACACGATGTGGACGTGTACCTGTCGTCGGCCCATCTGAGCATCAGGGACTGCAGGCGGCGTGAGTTTCTGATTCCTCTGGAGCTTTCCCTGAACACTTTGACCATAATACATGTGTCAGACCTTTATAGCACAATCACGTTCAGTTAAAACACAGAAAGTAAATGAACATCCTCACATTTCTGTCTGCCGGAATATACCGACTTCATGTTTTCATTTTGGCATAAAATTAGCTGAGTTACATGAATATTATTGGCAGTCAAAATAATTTAAAAATAGACACTTACTGTAAGAGGTTTTCTGGTGCATTGCTCCATTAAGTGTATCCAGACTTATTTGATTACATTAAAAGGGCATTATGCAACTTTATATGTGAAAAGTGTACATTGATATATATAAAAAATGTAGTGTGTATAGAGTATATATATTTGCACATTTGACCTTTTGCGTACCTTTTTGTACGCAAAAGTACAAGCATTGTCGTATTTGACACCCATGATGTCCACTCTCACACCCAGTGGCTGTAAGAGTGGACAGTGCCTTAAATTTTGATCACGGCTGTGTCTACAGAGCTCCAGGATCAATTGTTTTGTAGGTTTTCAGTTGCGGGGTCTGTCTGCAGAGAAAATCTTCCAAACAATGGAAGTAATGGAAAGTAAAGGCCCCATGCTGACCAGAAAAAAATGGTGCATAATGCTCAATTTTTTTAAAGCCTCTACTGTCTTATATTTAACATTTGTTGCAGGGTTTCAAAGCCTTGGTGGTAACATTTATTCAGTATTATCAACCCGTGTCAAAATATATAATAATAATAATAAAATGGTTAACTGATTATATCCATCGCATATGAGTTGCTGCCCCGCACACATCGACAATCTGGCGAAAACGGGCAACTCCCAGTAGCAGAGCAGTCTGGGGAATAACAGCGCGTACATTGACAGCAACTGGCCTCAACTACAGTGTGTTTTCTGACATAAACTGTTGCGGGCGCGCAATACACGCAATACACACACATTGGAGCGCGCACATCGGGTCATATCTCCGAAACTGAGGACAACTAGTTGCCGAAAAGTAGAACACGGGCAACTGACTGAAACTGGAGACCGACTAATCATCTCCAGTTGTAAGAGCGCGCACATCGACCGATTTCGGCAACTGATCATCTCCCACCATCTCCTCTCAGTTGCCAAAAGCCGCCTTGCAACTAGTTGTCTCCAGTTGATGTACGCTAGGCTTTAGAACCCCTACAGGGAAATTAGACCAAAAGAAAAACTCATGACATTGTCGATGGACCGCTCAGAGACAGCATTGAGCACGTTCAGAAATACTAGGCCTACATCCTTCCAATAACTTGTGTTTTTCAATCCAGTTTGCTAATCCTTTTCAGCTAATTTTGGTTGGCTCATTTAATTTCCTGTTGATTACTTTGTGTTCATGAACTTCCAAACATGCTCAGTTGTCATGCACAAACATTTGTCAATCAACCAATTATGACCATTTCATATTTTGTTGCTGTCACTATTACAAACATCCTAATTTTTTCTGGAAAACGATAGTGACTTTTCTCATGATTTTGCAGCCCCTATAGGCAGCATCTCGTCCATGGAGGTGAACGTGGACTTGCTTGACCAGATGGAGCTGATTGACATTTCTGACCAAGATGCTTTAGACGTGTTTTTCAGCTCAACTGAAGAAGCTGTTTTTACCGCCCCTTTACCAGGTATGAACACAACACAACACAACAGATCAGGGCCGGTCCTACACAGGAAGCGGACTATAGGCAGCTGCAATGGACCCCCAAGGCACAAGAGGGCGCCCAAGAAACAGGAAACTAATAACGTGTCCAAACTACCTAATTTTGGCCGTCTCAATAGGGCTGGAAAGCGGCAGTGCGAGATTTTGCGAGATTTCCACCCGCGGATACAAACAAACCACACATGCCACTTGTATGGTGCTGAGATCGCCGACTTCTTCCTCCTTAAAGGACAACTCACCCTCAAATCCACTTTTTTTTGCTGATAAACGGTATAAATGAGTGTCCAATAGTGTTGTCTACATATCCTGGTCATAATCTTGTCACTTTGGTGCAAATTAGTTGAAAGTTAGACTTTCTGCCTAAAACCGTCTGTGAGGCGCCATCTGCTGGCGACCTGTATTACTACAATTGAATTTTGAATCTGGCGCCAACACTGGCACAGAAGTTGGACCTGACGTCTGCAAGTTGGACCTGACGTCAGCAGCCCCCCGCCCAGAGCAATGTAAACGGCCCAGTCTCGTTCACGCCCCCTTTAGTCCTCCAGGCTACGGCCATTTAGAGGAAGATTTGAACAGGAAATGTGAGTGACGTAAGCTCCGAGGAGCGGGGGTGAGAACCACTTTAAAGGACTTTCCTGTGTTATTTTGGACACATCTCGTCTCTCGGACAGAAAAACTGAGTGAGCGGTCGGAATTACCTGTGAACTGACCATGTCCTGAAGTTTATATGACGGGGAGATGAGAAAGGTGCAGGGCCGTGTTCAAACTTATTGTTTTTTAACCCACTATTATGCATCAGAAAGACAATATAGAAACACTATTCTCATGCAAATACATTGATGTCCCTCACAGCTAGCTTTGCTGCGTTGGTTATGAGCCAATGTTTATGAATGATCAGTTTTCTATCTGTTCATTAGCTCCATCTCCACTTCACACTCACTGCAGCTTCACATTGGGCCTTTTTTCTTTTTGCTGTGCTGTAAAAATAACATGATGTAGTTGGGCTACCTATTCATTTAATACTAATATTATGATTGTCCGTTTTCTGTTATATTTGAACATTTGTTAAATGTTATTTAATATGTGCTAATATGTTCCTCCTTAATCTCTCAAATAAATAAATAAATACATGTCTCCTGTGTGACAACAATAAAGTTAATCTTATCTTAAAATACAAGCTACAATGAAAGGCTGGCCGCGCACTATAGGTTAGCATTAGCTACAAGTTAGCTTGAATACATATTCAAGTTAACCATCTGTAAAATCAGATTAAATGTTTTATCACAACTGCATAGCTTTTTACACAGCTTCAGTTGGTCTTTGGGAAACTTAAAAAATGAGCATGCTTCATGTAAACTTTGACAACAGCCGAAAACAAAGCAGAGCATTTTGCACCATTCATTTAAACCGCCTCTTCGAACAGCTGACGGTTTGTTTGTATCCGAGCAATGAACCGGAAGTGCTTCTGGGACGAGACTTTCCAGCCCTATACCCACACTGCACCCTACAAAGTGTGCATTTGTTTGAAGTGCACGCAAGGGTTTGAGTGCGCAGGTTACAAGCGTACAAAAAAAGGCAGAATTGGGACAGTGCACACTGAGTCAAGAGATGGTAATTTTCAGACCTAAACTTTATAATTAAAGGAAACAAAATGAGTTGCTCCACAAACGTTAAAATAAATGTATATTGGTTATTTGTAAATTGAGGTAGCTGTATAATTATAAGTTAAATGTGGGTAACTAACTGTTATCTGGTAAGCTTTTATACATCCTAAGTTTATTGTACTAAGTGTGAAGTTTAAATGGAATATTCTATGAATGCTTGCATTAAAAAAGTTATGAAATTGTTACCATAGAATGTCCGTAAATACATTTATGCTTCTTTCCAAGTAACATAGCAAAACTTATTTACACACATACTGCATATATATTTTAAAACTTACACTTAAATGCATTTTCCTGACGTTTTGGTGTGTACCGCAAAGAATTATGGGCAATATCCTTCGCCAAAGTCCGCATAGATGCAGGCTACGGCAAAGTGTGGCTCAGGGGCGCAAAGGGGGCGGGGCCAAAGACCTCCCTGGAGAATTGGGACACCCTACGCACTCGCACCCATCTTCGGGAACACGCAAATGAGGGGCGCGAGGGTGGAAGTGCGAATATTGGGACAGGGCCTATGTTTGTCCCAACAGAAAGAGTCTTGTTTAAGTAAACAGTGTGTTAACAAATTGGAATCGAAGCTCTGAGCGCTCTGATCTAAAGATGAATACGATACAAAACAAATGTATGTGATGTATGTGAAAACAAGTAATAGAACCAAACTGTTTTGAGAGCAAGGAACTAAAGGTAGATGGATTTTATTGTTGTTTTGTGATTATATTTTTGTAGTTTCAAAGTTCAAAGTTCTCGAGCTTTAATCGAAATGTCACACATAGATTCAGAATATTCAAAAAATGACGCCAGAGATTGTAATTTTAGTTTTAATTCTCACACCGGCTGGTTCTATCGCTGGGTTTCACATCATGTCAGGAATGTTTGGTCTCTGATGCATCTTTAGATCAGCTTAATCAGTGAAAAAGAGACCAGCCCTCACACAGCCAATCAGCTCTCAGGATGTAAAAGACAACATTTATTCTAAGAATATGAAGATGTTATGGTCGGATTTGTTCCCAAAAAGACTCTTTCTGTTGGGATACAATACAATACAATACAATTTATTCTTGTATAGCCCTAAGTCACAACAGAAGTCATCTCAGAGGACTTAACAAAACCATTGAAATCACCAACACAGATCAGAGAATCAAAAGTTAAAACATAAAGAATATAGAACACATGTTGATAAATGTCCATACATGTTGTAGAATGTTAAAGTGTCCTGTATCATCACCACAGTCCTTCTTGTTGGACAGAACTGCCCAACAGACCCTCCTGCATCAGCAAGGAAAAACTCTTAAAAAAACCCAGTGGGATAAAATATATTTATATCTAAAAAGAAATCTAACATGTATCATTAACCTTTTACATCTTGTGAACAGTGGTTTTTCCTTGTAATTTATTTGCACAATAATCAAAAATTCTAAAGTACATTGTTCTACTTTGACAGAAATGTTACGTGACCACCCCTTGCCTCAGTGAGTGCGTTTACAAAGCACTTCAATTTAATCTGATTGATAAAATGTAAACTCTGAAGCTAGAACCAGCACTAGAAACATAAGCTTCAGCTCGACAGAACACCGGGTCGCAGCAGTCACTCTTGGGACAAGCTGTCTTGTTTCAAGAGTGTGGTTGGTTGCAAATTTTTTTCTTGAATTTTCTTGTATCAATAGAACTCAAACAGTGCTGCAAATCTTGTTTTAAGATTCAATTTTTTTAAGGCTGAGTCGAAATTAAATCAGATTAGAAAAAGCCCAAATTTAAACAATGTTTTACTTGTTTGTAGTCAATTTTTGCAGTCGGTGTGCATGAAAAGGTGTTCATTATTATTTCATTATCATCAGCACAAGGCAACAACAACAATGATGAGGTCCTCAGCAACGGGCTCTACCGGCATGTCCTTGAGGGCCTGGATTCCAAGTCCCGCGTGTCTTCCACGTCGTCAGTGTCATCAGGGGACAGCCAGAATATGAACGTCCCGTCTCCCGCAGAGGGCTCTGAGGATGAGGAGCAGGAGAGCAGTGGAACCCTGAAGAGGAGGCCCAAGCCCACAGAGAAGAGCTCTACATGAAGGACGAGCTCCAATGGACTGGATTTATTTTTCTATTTGTAGATTGGTCACGTTGTGTAAAAGATGTGGACTGATATGATGTAAATATAACATTATGTGTGGGTTCTAACAGTTTCAAAACGTGCATAGAAAGAATCACTGTCAAAAGTTGAGATGCACAATTAAGGATGGGGTGAAACGGTTATGACGATGTGACATCATACTGTAACATGTTTAACATTATTTTTTACAAGATTCTTTCTGTTGGGACAAACAACATGCATTTATGAAACAACAAAAAGTTAGGGATTTTACAGTTTACGGCTTTAATATTAACATCATTAACCTGGGCGGAGCAGGTGCGCAGATAGCGGTGAACCTCAACAGTGCACACATACATGTATATACTATCACGGTAATGCAGTTTTGCTCTGTCACTCAAAATTATATTGCCATTGTATTGCCAGCTCTCTTTTGCAGTAATCGTGGCACCACTTTTAGACAACATCAGCTTCTCAAAATGTGTGCAGTTCATTCATTTAAACCATTTTTTCTTCAAGCCAAACGCATACTTGTTTTAAGACATCCTTTGTTCCTTCGACTATAAGACTGTACAACAGATCTGTCTGAGTTGAACAACAGATGCACTATTGTTGGTTAGTTAGAAATGTTAATAAATGATGTATGTGTTTGCATGGTTGGATGTGGTTCTGCTGCTGGACACCTGTATTCACCTGTATATAGCCACACGACATGTTAATGTAACACAAAGCTTATAATCGGTCTTGCAGTAATAATGTTTTATTTCAGTGGAATTAAACACTTTTTGAACTCTCCACATCAGTCACTCAGTATTAAGTAAGACTATCAGCAATGACACATGTGAGAATGGAGGCCGATGCAGTGGCGGCAGGCCCTTTCACATATGGGACAAGTAAGGAGAGGCGGCTGAGGCTCCAAGTTTGGGTCGAGCCCACTCAGTTTGGCGGCGACTGGTCTCTCCTGACTGAAACTCAAATCTCTCCTCCCCCTTCATTGCAGCTGCTTTGATTGATGTACGCCATTGTTGGTGATCCCGACTGCATATACAGGTAACTGCCATGTTATACTAGCGGTTATATTATGTTGTTGGTGTATACACGCGGTACGGTGTAAAAAATAACACAAACTTGCACACACAAAAATTGGCGAAATAGAACGGAGAAGGTGAACTGTGGTGTAGAGAGGGACCACTGAACAAGATTAGATAAGAGAGACTGATCTCACTTTGGAGAAATGTACAATACTTCCAATCCTTTATTTATGGAGATATTTCGTTGATATCACACTTAAGTGACTTAATTCTAAACCACATTCACTTAGGATTGACAAATTTGAAGTGTGATATGGATTTACTCTTGTTATTTGTTGTTAATGTCATCAAAGAGCCTCTTGACAATAAAACAATTAGACCACTTCAGGGGAAAAATGCTTTGTACGATTTCTAGCTCAACCTCAGAAGATGATCTGTAATAATGGTCACAGGCAGAAAGATTCAATTCAATTTTTTCTTGTATAGCTCTAAATCACAACAATAGGGTTAGGGTTAGGGTTATCTTTGAGGACTTGAGGAACGGTTGAATTCGCTAACACAGATCAGAGAATCAAATCGTTCAAACACAACAAATACGATGATAAAAAAAACACATTGGTATTGGTCCAATAGGGGACAATGTCCATAAATGTTGTGGACGATGATGATGGAAACAATAGTTAGACTGTATTTGTAATCCAATACATTCATAAAGCACTATATACACACACTGCATACTTCCCCTTTAAGTACCTAAGCATGTTGGTACCTCTGACAGAAAGACATTATTTACTGTATCTTGATTGTTGTTATTTTTAGGCATGATAGATAATATAATAAACATCAGTTGCAGGCTGCTTCCTTTCCCACTCACACAAATGAGCTCTTTCAACACTTTGCCCCATCCATATCCAGGCCCACAACATATTTTTCTTTTTAATGAAATATAAGAATGTTAAGTTATTTCACCAATTGAGTTTTTATACAAACACCTACCATTAAAACCTGTACATACGTGTATTTAATGTGCTTTGGTTTAATTTTGTATTGTGTTATTTACATTCTGCTGCAAACTCAGATGGTAACACTGTATACTAACGGTCTCATGTACAGCATCAGTAAATCTATTGTAAATACTTAATAATAATACTATAGGTTTCCTGAGTAGATCATTGGGTAATTATATGAGAATATACTTTTTACAACGCATGAATGTTTGATAAATGTTTTTGGGGTTTTTTAACATTCAGACAGTTAATATAAAGTGTAACCCTTTTCAAATTTGAACCTGAGATATATTTATATGATAATGACAATTACATCAAAATACAGGGAAAAATGAATACAAATGATACATTTCAGAGTGTATGTGTAAGTGGTAGGGGAAACCTGAGCAATCGGAGGAAACCTACACAGACACAAGGAGAACATGCAAACTCCACACAGAAAGGTCCCTTCTGGAGGAAGGACCTTCTTTGAAACAAAAGTGCAAACCACTGCACCACAGTGCCTCCCTAGTTTGATCATGGCTTACAACCCATTTTCAAAATGTATATTTTTTTATGTTTTATTGTTTATTGTTTTTTTTTTACAAGCTCTGAGCCGGTTTAAGAGATCCTTTTGTTTGTCCCACATTCTAGAAAATTCAATGTTGCATCACACGTTACAGAACAGTTTGATGGAGGAGAAGCCAACACGAGATAAGTGAATATTAGGTGTAGCACAACAGTTAAAATAAAACCTCCAACTTTAGGTTAACAAAGACGCAAAGAATAAAATCCTGTATACTCTAGTGCAGAAGTGGGTAATTGGGATGTTGGAATATTGCCCAATTGTGGAGAGCTGGGCCTGCTTTCATGTGATTCTTAAAAACAAAAAATCAGTTTAGCTAAAAATTACTTAACTTTTTCAGGGGTTGGGTTCATTAATGAGAACAGAATAAATGTATAACATATTAATTTACAAGACTTCACTTCACTTTCTAATTTTATAAATAAGCAACAGATGTAACACGACCAGCTGGGAGGGTCCGGGGGCCGCATGGAAAATTGAATCGGGCCAGTCGGGCCCCCGGCCCGTGGTTTGCCCATGTCTGCTCAAGTGCAAGAAATATATAGTTGTGTGTATACTGTATCAACATCATAACAAAGACTTGATTCATCTAACTTTGTGTGAAAAGTGTATGTAATAAAAGTTTCACATTTGACGTTGAATTCCAGAAAAAATTTGACCTTTCAAATATTTCCTGATTGTGCGAGTTTCACCTGTTCATCCATTGGCTTCAAACACACTTACAAAACAAGACCTGTAGAGTGTCTCATTACTGGCCCGTCTGGTCTGAATAGTTTTCATGAGCAAACATGACATTCCCCTGCGTTGAGTTTTAAGACACGTGTGACTTTGTTCCAGCACAGACGAATACCCTGTGATTATGGGAAGAGTCATGCAGTACGGGGGAGAGAGAGGGAGGGTTAGGGGGGAGAGAGAGGGAGGGTTAGGGGGGAGAGAGAGGGAGGGTTAGGGGAGGGCCCTCAGTGTCAGATCACTTTACATGAGAAACACAGCCGACACACACATGACGACGGTATGACCAAAAACACCATCATGCTCCGTGCTCTCCTCACTGTAAGTACCACTTTAACTTGATAAACTTATTTTGTTTTCTACTGATATTAACATTAGGTAACAGGGTTTCATCAGTGAGTTCTCATGTGTGTCTTACAGTATTAGCTTGTTTAAAATGTATTTATTGACTTTTCATGCACAGATATTTTTATGATCTTTTATTTATATTTTTCATGCAGATGTGTGAATGAGATGTATTGTTAATGTATGTATATGCAGCACTTGGGAAAACGTTTGTAATATGTGCTATACAAATTCTGTGGATTGGATTAAGATGAAGATGACATGATTGTGAGAGAAAAGCCTTGCTGTGTTTTGCTTAAAAATAGGTTTCAAACCCAATATTAATATTAATATTTTAGACTGCACTTATATGCCAAATAAGGCATTGTCTTCTTTGCTTGAAGTTTGTTAGAAGCTTATAATTTTCACATTTGTTTACTATTCGCTATTACTAAATTAATTTTGAGTATGTTTAGCATGCTTTAAATCTTGGGTCTCCAATCTGTCTTTTAAAAAAACTCAAAAACCTACTTTTACACACTAGAAATGGCAGAGAGCTTCTCCTTTTTATATTTAACTATTCAGTATCATATGTCATCAACTACATTTATTTTATCAATAAATCTAGTTGATTTATTGATACAATTAGCTTTAAATTTATGTCTAAAATACCATTGTAGACCACAGTAACCTCTTACCATCAATGCTGGCAAGTTACATGATTTTTTTTTTTTTTTTTTGTGGTTTCAAAGTCAGTTACTTCAGCTTTATCCAAAATGTCCCATATATATTAATATTCTAAAAACAAATCAAATCCATCTCACAAGAAAACGCTCACATGTCTTTACTAGGGATTCTAATATGATTTGTAGTTCTTAAAGCTGGAGTATCTATCATTGAAATCACAAAACAATAACTGTGTAATAGAAGTCCTAGCTCTGGATACAGATGTCTTTCACATGCCTCTGTTTTAGATCAGCTTTTGATTCACTTTGAGCACCATAGCTATCGTCCCAAACGTAGAAAGTGATGAGAAAAAGAGAAAATACATTTATTTTATAGACTTTCAACCAGATATAGTCCTTGTACCGATGGAAGCAGAAAAAAACTTCCCAAAGCACTTTTTATAGTGGGCAGGTTAAAACTACAGCAAGACATATAGGGGCGTGTCTGGACCTACACTTTTGATTTGCAAACTCAGATCAGATTGTTGAAGTAAAATTAGTGTGTGTCTGTAATGTTCACCTTTAGATTTACCTGATTTCGAGGGCTGTGTGCATGCATGTGCAGAGCCGCCACAAAAGAGCCTGGATCATCACCTCCTTCACGATAGAAGAGGGTCACCCCGGCCCGTTCCCCTACGAGCTGGGCAAAGTGAGCCCTGGCACCATTCCAGCCGAAACACATGTGCAGACTGTGACGTGTGCGATGTGTCCTGCAGATTGACATCGAGCGAGCTTACAGAGTTTACTTTGGGCTCTACGGAGAAGGGGTGGACGAGGATCCCAAAGGGGTTCTGTCCATAGACAAGGAAAGTGGCCTGATCTATGTGCACAAAGCGGTGGACTACGAGGAGAAGCAGATGCTGACGGTAGACTTCTCACTGTTATCAATCATTTCACACATTTCTTTCAAATCAATCCATCAAAATGTGTATCACTTTGCAGAATAAAAAAAAAAAAAAAGAAACCCCGGAACAGCAGGCAGTTTTGAGATGGGGTCGTAACAAATTCCCTCACTCATTCAACACAGAGACAGATACATTTGGAACAAAACTGCAAAAATCAATCAATCAATCACTTTATTTATCCCCGAGGGGCAATTAAAAATAACAAAATAAAAACAGTTTTATCATTGAGATCTTTGGACTCCCACCCATAATTAATTTCAACTAAAAATTGTCTTGAACTAAAAACAGTTGTTAAATCACTGCAACTGCATAATCATTAAATTAGGCCTTTACTGAAAAAGTTGGTGATATCGTACCAAGTATATCAAAACCACTACCAACTCCTGAATCTACCAATATTAAGACATAATATAATATACACTCAGACGAGGCCCAAACACCCTCTGACCCTACACCTCTCTCCCACTACTGATACTATCACTCTTTCCTGACGTACTTAAACAAAAACAGAATTTAAAATGTAATCAGACTTGAAAATGTTTTTTTTTTGATCCGTTCCAAAAAGTGGCTCCAAGCACCGACATACACATTGATTTTAAAGTAGTTCTATTTTGTGGCACACAATTTTTGTTCAGTCTGTAATTATGATGAGCAACTTCATTTCTACATGACTTATTTGTTTCTATAGATTAAGATCACCTAAGATCACATGTTTTGGTAACATTCTATAAGTATTACAATATTTGATTTACTTTGCAAGGCTGGGGTACCTGTATTTCCTTGCTATACCAAACGGTTTGGTTCTATCATAATAATTTCACATGCATCTATTTTTTGGCAGCATTTTCAGAAGGAAAAGTGAAAGATAGAGGACCACCATCACTCAGCCTAAAGCGCCAAAATAGTGACTCACAGAGCTTCTTAAGTATGCAAAAGATAAATGTTTCCTAATAAACATTTACCGCGAGAATCTTGCAGCCTGATTTATTCACCATTTCTTATGTTTACCAGACTGTTTCTGTTGGGTCAAACCAAATCCACTTTATTTAGCAAACTTTCCAAAGTGCTGCTCGGGAGTAGGCTGTAAAAAACGGCAGACAGTACAAATAAATACAAATGCCTGATCTGTACGGGAGAAAAAACATTAAATAAATGTAAAACAACACACAGTTTACGCCAAACCGAACCTACTGCATTATTTATGAAGAAGGAAGAAGGAACCCCAGCATTATTGTATCATGACTGTTTTTTTAAATATGTTTTTTCCCCACAGTTGCATTTTGAAACCAAAAAATCCGACTTCTCTTTGGATACAAAATTAGGCGTTCAAATCTCCATACTTGACATCAACGACAACCCCCCTGTTTTCCAAAGGAGTTTGTATGAAATAACAACGCCAGAAGACACAGCCCAAGGTAGCGACAAAACGACACACACAATGCTACACACGCAGAGCTTCACACAAAGCTGTTCTGCAGGTTCATTCCTCATGACCGTGTTGGCCCAGGACCGAGACCAGCAAGGATCCCCCAACTCCACCTTTCACTACACCATCAAGTCTGCGTCCCCACAAACAGAAAACGCCCAGTTCTTTATCGACAAGGACACGGGCAAAATCTCATTCAAAGGATGTTTGGATCATGAGGCGAGTATTTCTCATGCCTTAAAGATCTACAGTATACTGCTTGGTTTGCATGACATGGCGTGCCTTGCCTCTGGCCAAAGCGAGATGCAGAGTTTGACAAGTGCAAAGCTCCAAGAAAAATGTGAATTTATGGGCGCAGTATAATGTGTCTGGAGTGAGGGTCAGGCATGTGCTTGTTCTCTATAATTTGCTATACCTTAAATAATTCATAAAGCATCCATTTCTTCACATGAAATACAGTTCCTCTCAAAGGTATTATTACAGCTTCAACGTTTGCACATTTTAAAAAAACTTTTAGGTTTTCTATTGTTTGAAAAATAATAGAGTCATGTTATTATTAATCTATATTTATCTAGATTAGTTATTAGCTAATCTGCAGACCCGGTCCCTCAGACATGAAATGCAAATCTTTATGTTTATGTTGTGCAAAAAAAAAAATGTGCAAAAGATCAAGCTGTATTAATACTTTTGAGTGCATGAAACATTTGCCAAATGTCTGTGTATGATCTGCATGCATTTATGTGTCTGTGTTTATTTCTTTCATTTATTTTTTTGTCTCAACAAAACTACAGGTGGGGTCAAAACTCTTTTGTTGGGACAAAATGTCCCAAAACAAAATTTATGAAAAAAGTAAGGTCCCAGCTTGTATTTATTTTTCATTAGTTAAATACTGTGGCAAAAATCCTTGTTTCTAATCATCTGGAAACCAATTTAAAATAGAAAACTTTCTCTTTCTCAAAAGATTATTGTTTAAGTATAATCTCGTGACCAGATCAGACTAAAACAAGCTGAAAATTGTTGATCTTTTACATACTGAGAGCTGATTGGCTGAGAAAGGGCTGGTCCAAAGATGTGACGAAGCCTAAAAAATACATGCATATAAAAACTAGCATAGACTCGAACAGTATTGAGTGCCACAAACAAGATGGATTTTCACATTTCAAATGTTTTTCTTTTGTTTCAAAGTACTACCCCAGCGTCAAGTGTTATTTCAAAATCCCTCTTTGAGATGTCACTGCTCACACTCATAACATTTCTCTGTGTCTGGTCAAATTAACATCCTACTAATCATGGACTAATCATTTCAGTCTGAGTCTGTTAAAAATCTCCATGTGCAAACTTGAAGGTGGCAGAAAAATATACACTTTTAGTAGAGGCAATAGACCACGGTGATGAGATCAGCCTGTCCAGCTCAACCACAGTGGTCATCAAGATCCAGGACGGAAACAACCATCTGCCCACCATCAGCGGCCAAACGGTAAGGACATCATCATCATCATCATCATCATCTGTTTATTCAACTTAGATCCACTTGGTAAAAGAGCAGACTCCTAAAAACAAGGCACAAACAACTTAAAGACAGGCTTATAAATAACAAATACAGTCTTTCAATGAAAGAGACTGGTACCGCGCAGCACCATGGATCTATTATAATATCTCGATAGGGTATTACTAGCTTCTCGCTGAAGCGCCCACAGGCTCTGGGGCTTCTTGCAGTACTGCAGACTAAATAAATCTAAATTCACGTGGGCTACCCAGAAATGTTCCCCTTAGACTCAATGTAAACTAAAACAGCTCGACCTCAGCTGACAGAGAACCTACAGATCGAAAGGTCGGATTGTGTGGGGATTTCAGTGTCCCTTTTTAGAGCTCATTGAGTTTGCAAATCAGGATAGGAATAATGCAACACTTTTATCTATTTATTATTTTTTATCAGAAATGGACGCGCTTGAAAGAAGTGGTTTAATGGACGTGTTGAAATGTGTTTGTCGCAAATCTGCAATGGATGCACTTTCCCTGTCAGTTAGCATAGTTCTCACCACACATGTCGTAATGTTGACGATAAGAAATGACATGGATTCCACTCCCTAATAGTTTAACATTAATTATATGTCTGTCTGTCTGCTTGTATGTACAGTGTTATTACGTAAAAAAGTATGTTAGGGAGTGTACTGCATTCTTTGTTATTATGTAACTTTGTGTAAACAGGGGAGTGGGAAAGTAAAGGAAGGGGAGAGTGGGACGTCTCCTCTGAGGGTCCATGTGACAGACAGAGACAGCCCTCAGAGCCCCGCGTGGAGAGCCAGGTACGCCATCAGAGGAGCGGACGCCCAGCACTTTAAGATCGAGACGGACCCAGAGACTAACGATGGCATTCTCACGGTGCTCACTGTAAGTCTTTGTGTGTGTGTGTGTGTGTTTGTGTGTTTGTGCACTTGCCTGACATTACTGATCCTCCCCACCTTGAAAACTATATCATTATGGAATGTCAAGGCACCACTCAGTACTACATGTTCATAAAGAAAGGCATACGTCATTTCTGCATGAATGAATAATAATAATAATGCATCAAACTTATATAGCGCTAAATGGATTTGTATTTGTGCTTGTTTATACCCCTCGACTCCTTTCATGACAACGCAAACCTTTTTTTTTTCATCATTCATGGTTGAGTGTAGCCATACAGGTGAAACTTTAATTTGTTTGTTCAAAAGTCCTTATACTTCTATATTTCATTTTGAAATGTGATACTATGAAAATAGGCTTCACCAAACAACTAACAGTAAAATAGTAACAATATAATTTAATTTCTGAAATATGGCCAAGTTTTTATTATTTCTTTCAGGGGGTGTAAACTTTCAATTGTATTTATTTGTGCTAAAATTGTTCATATGAACTGACATGTGAAAACATCAACTTCTATAGGTTGACATTTCATTTGTCATAAGAGGTTAAAACTTCCCACATTTAGTGACAACATTAGCCTAATGGACAATAAACACATAACATGGCAAAACCTTGTTGGGAAGAAGCATTTATTGTTGTACATACAACAATAAATGCTTGTACATTGTTATACATACGTATGCAGTTTCTCAGGTGCTCTGGCAGAGCATTCCATAGGTACACACCTCAAAACACACTTATTTTTTATTTTTTATTTAATCTTTAATTCAGACACACAAAGGGTCCATATAAAACAAAAGAGACAAAAAAACCACACACAAACATTCAATATTTACAAAATTCTATAAAGACAGCTTCTCCAATGCCTCCAGAGGTCAGAGGTGAGCAAAACACTGCTCTGTACAGCAAAAACATTCATTATTACATTTAAAGAGTGCTCAGAGCGTTTCATGAACTTATAAATACAGTTTCTGATCACAGCAGTCAGAGTGGGGACATTATTAAAAACAAACAGTGAGCTGGCACGAGTCCAACGAGGGACTCTCAGTATGATTCTAAGTGCATCATTATATGCAACCTGCAGCTTCTTAAACTGACTCTTACTGTATCTGCACCACAAGTGGGCAGTATAGAGCGGTGTGCAGTAGGCTTTAAACAAAGTTATTTTCACATTATCAGTACACATGTGAAATCTCCGAGCCAAAGTGTTAGCCTGTCCATACAGCTTACAATACTGCCTCTGAATGTCATCGTCATCACTGAGGTCACTCCTGATGACGTGCCCCAGGTATTCGGCCTTCTCTACATTCTGAAGCACTCCACCAGACAAATAAAAGGCAGGAAAAGAGGTCTTCAGGTGTTCTTTGGTCCTCACCACCATAACTACTGACTTCTTAGAGTTAAACTTTATGTCATACTGTTTCCCATATTCTGTGCAGACTCTCAGCAGCTGCTGCAGACCTGCAGAGTAGGGGGACATGATGACCAGATCATCTGCATAAAGAAGGTGGTTCAAGAGTCTGTCTCCAATAGAGCAGCCGGTCTTACACTGCCTTAACTTTACAGATAACTCATCCATATAAACATTAAAAAGCATAGGTGACAGGATTCCACCCTGTCTCACTCCGTTTGACACATGAAACGGTTCTGACACTGCCGTACCCCATTTAACCTGCATGGTTTGGTGCGAGTACCAGAAATGGAGGAGACGAACTAAATATGCAGGGACCCCTCTTTGCATCAATTTATAAAATAATTTAGAATGGTTAATACGATCAAATGCTTTAGAAGCATCCAGGAAACACACAAACATAGTAGAATTCTGCCTTTGATATTTACTTAGAGCCTCTTTTAGAGAGTATATGCACATGTCAGTGCCATGTTTGCTTTTAAAACCAAACTGCTCGTCATTTGAGGTACAATACTGCAGGAACCGCTCTGATAAAATTATTTCTAGCACCTTAGAAAGCACACTGGCGAGTGCAATTGGCCTGTAGTTTTCTAAACTAGACAATTTTCCTGTTTTATCCTTGATCACAGGTGTAAGGAGGACAGACACCAGTGAGCTAGGCAGTGTACCATGCATTAACATGCCAGTAAAGCAAAGTGAAAGCAAGACACATAGTCTAGGGCTGGCATACTTCAGATGCTCTGCAGTTAGCTTGTCCAGGCCACAGGATTTACCCACAGACAGTTTTTTAAATAGCTGCAGCTATTTGCACAACTGTGATATTCACGTGTTTATCCGTTGATTTGTCAATAATACAATGCTTGCTTTTCACACAATTAAAAAGTTTACCATAATGTTTTCTCCAAAGCTTTGCAATATTGTCAGGCCCAGTTATCCCATCAATGGTGGAGGGCAGAAGGATTTTTGTTACACTCATATGTTGTACTTCTTTCCAAAAATCTTGAGCATCATATTTTAATAACTTTTCAGCTAAAGAGTCAGCTCTAAGAGTTTCTTCGTTCCTCTTTATAAATCTAACAGCATCTTTGAACTGCTTACCAGCTTGTTTTTTGAGATCACACAAGCGGCCATTTTGTGGCTTACCAGCAGTAACCCAGTTGATATAGGCTGATCGAGCTTGCTTATGGAGCTCATTCACATGCTCGTTCCATCCTGGTCTGCTATTTATCTTGTGCCTTTCTCTTGTAAAGGACTGATTCACTGCAAAGAATGATGAAATATATAAGAGATGCTTGAATTGAGTCTTAACTATATTTCCTATATCAGCAGCTGGGTCTTTTTCAAGTGCTATTTCTCATTCATCTTGTCAAGTTAGAATTTGTTTTATCTCAGAAGGGACAGATACAGAAAACATAGACAAGCTGTCATACAGTAGTCTGATGCATGCATCATAGTGCATTATCTGTGGGGTTGAGATCTGGAGACTGGCCAGGCCACTCCAGGACCTTGAAATGCCACTCCTTCCTCTTCAATGCCCTTGCTGATGGAAGGAGGTTTTCATTCAAAACCTCATAATACATGGCCCCATTCATTATTTCCTTTACACGGATTAGTCGTCCTCGTCCCTTTGCAGAAAAACTGCCCAAAAGTATGATGTTTCCACCCCCATGCTTCACAGTATGTATTATGTTCTTTGGATACAACTCAGCATTCTTTCTCCTCCAAACACAACAGGTTGAATGTTTACCGAAAATTATATTTTGGTTCCATCTGACCATCTGACCTTCTACCAATTCTCTTCTGAACAAATGTGGGAGCAATTATTAGAAAATGGAAGACATTTTCTAATGTGCATATAAACAAGAAAGATTTCTGGCTCTCATAGAATCAGAATCAGAATCAGAATCATTTTTATTGCCACGTAAGTAACAGGAGGTCACAGACTTGGAAATTGCTTTGGCTCAGTGCAACAGTCAGAAAGAGATAATAAAAATAAGAATAAATAACACTTCTAAAGAATAAATTTAAATTTAAAATAGAGTTACAGTTACTATTTACAGTATACAAGTGCACATGGTGCACACAATGTAAGGTGACAGCAGTACAGTGAAGTAAAGTGACGTATGATGGGCAGTAAAGTGACTTTATAAAGGGCGGGGGGACAGGTTAAGAAGTGTTCAAGAGTCCAACAGCAGAGGGGAAGAAACTGTTCTTGTGGCGGGAGGTTCTAGTCCTGATGGACCGCAGCCTCCTGCTTGAGGGCAGTGGTTGGAATAGTCCATGTGCAGGGTGAGAGGGGTCGGCTGTGATACGACCAGCCCGGCCTCGAGCTCGGGCGACGTACAGGTCCTGCAGCGATGGAAGGCTGCGGCCGATCACTTCCTCTGCAGAGCGCACAATGCGCTGTAGACCTGTAACTCCTTCTTTATGAAATACACCTGTCCACAACCTCAAACGGTCACACTCCAACAAAATTGTAGACCTGCACCAGGCTGGGAAGACTGGTGCATTCTTCCCAGCCTGGTGCAGGTCTACAATTTTGTTTCTGGTGTCCTTTGACAGCTCTTTGATCTTGGCCATAGTGGAGATTGGAGTGTGACTGTTTGAGGTTGTGGACAGGTGTCTTTCATAAAGAAGGAGTTACAGGTCTATGAGAGCCAGAAATCTTTCTTGTTTATAGATGACCAAATACGTGTGATTCTCTGGATGATGTCGATGATCCAAGTAGTAATGAACACACTTGTTAAATGTTATTTAGGTCATTTTCGTTTATATTTGAAAATAAATAGTGTTAGAAACACCATTAGAAAAACTTTGAAAACACTATTGTATAACAAGTAACTAAAAAAATCACAAATCACTGTACACTCCATTCCACATAAAGGAGTGATGTCTTGTACAATTCCTTAAAGTCCTAATAAAGTTTGTGCACAATTTGACGAAAAGAAAGAAAAATATACATTTTTAGAAAACTTTTGAAGAATAATTGACTCTTACTTTCAGCCGCTCAACTACGAGGAGACGGCTCACACGGACCTCACCGTCTCGGTGGAGAACGAGTTGCCTTTTTTCAGCTGCATAGTTAAGAAGAAAACGGCCACCGACTTATGGGAAGTAAATCTGGTAAATGGTGAAGAGGGCGTTTCTGTTCAGTCCCAGGAGGTAAACGTCACTATTGAAGTAGAAGATGTAAACGACCCACCTGCGTTCCATGTGACAGTGAAGGAGGCCATGCTGGAGGAGAACAGTCCTGTTGGGACCCGGGTGACAGAGGTGACGGCCCACGACCACGACTCCAGCCACTCAAGTCGATTTGTGTGAGTGTGAGAAACTTCGATGAGCCAGACAAAAGAGTACAGATACAACATTTTGTGTCAATGGTTTCATCTATTTTTCCATAGAAGAAATAGATCCCAAAAGGTCAGCGAATATGAGATTTTTTTTATAAACAACCAAAACAAGTGATGCCCCTGGAGACTGGATACTCAAAGGGAACGCCTATTAAAACGTGTCTCGCATATCACCAGAATGATTGACAATTAGAAAGACCAATAGTCTAGATGATCCACCTGGAAGAAAAAAATCTACCCATATACTTTTAATAATAATTAATCTCCACTAAATCAATTATTAATGCATCAATATTGTTGTATTTTTGTTGAAATTGGGCGAAGCATTATATAAGGGCCAAAACTTGTATCGTATTGTTAGAAATATATTTCAATGTCAAGTGTCTATTAATTTAGCCTATTGATTTGACCAATACTTAGCACAGGTTTAGGTTGTAGCTTTTTTTTCCTCCTCCCAGTGTAGGTATGAATTTATCTAGTTACCTCCATTAGCCATCTTTTTTATGTAAATACATAGAAAATAAACAAACTTCATTTAATTTAATTTAATTTAATTATCCTAAACTACCCATGTTAGGCTGAGGCACCAAACTGATTTTTTGTTTTTCATTAACAGTACATGTAGTTTGCCCAGCAGAAACCGTCTTAAAAGTAAAATGTTAACAAATCAGACCAGAACATGCTGTATCTTCGTTGTTATCTTTTGCATTCATAAGAAAGAGCCATGTAAGTCACTATTTGATGCTTTGGGCTGAAAGCCTGCTGAGTGAGGGGTCCTCTCATTTGCAGAAAGGCCAAACAATAACAATATCATGTATTTGGTGATAGTGATAGAAACAAAATGTTTTGAATTTTATTACAAAATTATATTTTTGGTTTTAAAGTTAGAAACCCCAGCTTTAAGGAGGGTGGAGTCCCTTCATTGTATTTTTAATTGTCTGACCTTCACATATAGTATGGCTGGTCACATCACGGTGTCATTCAGGTCCAGAATGTCTACATGTACTCAGTCATTACCAAAGTGTTTTCCTAAAGCGTGCACTGATCTTATTGTGTGCAGGTATAAAATCGGTGATGATCCAGCAGGGTGGGTGCAGGTCGACCCCAAAACGGGTGACATCACAACAGTCAAAGTCATTGACCGAGAATCTCCCCATGTTGTGAATGGCATCTACACAGTCCTCATATATGCAGCAGACGAGGGTACTTTTTGCAACAGTCACTACATACATTATACACTACAATGCTAACAGTACATTCATAAGACAAGACAAAACAACAAATACAGAGAAATCAGAAATACAAAAGAACAAGAACAGCCTAAACACACATAAAAAGTGGCGACTGTGTGTATGCTGTGTCTGTTGTGCCGTTTGTGTGTATGTGTGATTTGTGATATGGTTATATTGTAGAGAGAGAAATAAAAATGTTAAAGACGTAAGTAGCTGACAGATAAAATGTTAAATTAGATTAATGGAATTAAGTTGGGAGGGATGTGAAAGTGTTAACGATGGTACTACTTCTACTTCCTCATTGTGAGTTGTAATGTTTTGTTCAGGAGAGCCACCAATGACGGGGACGGCTACAGTGAACATACATGTAGCAGACAAGAACGACAACGTGCCCCAGCTGGAGGTGGACTTTGTGGATGTGTGCAAGTCCGAAAACATCACCACAACCAACATCACAGCTTTTGACCTGGACAATCCCCCATTTGGAGGGCCGTTTACATTTGAGCTTCTCGGAGATGTTCATGATAAATGGAGTCTAAACCCCTCTTATGGTAATCCCTCTGCATTTGAGTCACCATCAAACTGTATTGGATTGTAGTTTGTTTATTTGGATGGGACAATGTGTGTTCAGGAAAAGCAGAAGCTGTAAACACACCAGATTGTAGCTATAATTTCCATCTGTCGTCCCACAATCACACTCACAAATACAAACTCATTCAACCCTCACCTATTGTGTACATGTTTGTCGTGGTTGGATAACCCAGAGTACCTAGAGGAAACTGAACAATAGCTGTTCCGATAATGTTGGGATCACACTCCTCAACCTCCCCAGTAAGTTCTACTCCAAGGTACAGGAGAGGAGACTCCGACCGATAGTCAAATCTCAGATTCAGGAAGAACTGTATGGCTTTAGTATGCCAGCTCTGTACGCTCCACTGGATACTCGAGGGACCTGTCCACATGAGCTTTGTGGATCTGGAGAAGGATTGTTCCTTGGGGGGTTCTCCAGGAATACGGAAAAGACTCAGGACATGTTGAAGAGACATGACTCTCAACTGGGAACGCCTCTAGATTACCCCAGATGACCTGGAGGAAGTGTGTGTGGATAGAAGTCTGGGCATCTCTTCTTGGACTGCTGCCCCTGCAATCCTGCAATGGATAAAGCAGAACTAAAAGGATGGATGGACTTTATCATTTAGATTCTATACATACTGCGCCAGAAATGGTGGTGCAGAAATAAAGGGGTAGAAAGTGAATGAATGAATGAATGAACATACTGCACCTTTATGTGAATGTCTCACTGTGTTGCCCAGGTTACACTGCCGGTTTGGTGAAGGAGTCCACGGTGTTCGTGGGTCCACATACACTCAGTCTGAAGGTCCTGGACCTGCAGGGACAGTTTGGCATCCACAGCCTGAGGGTGACTGTCTGTGACTGCTCTCTTGCACCAAACTGTCGAACCCGCAGAGAAAGCACCCTCGCCGCCTCCTCTGTGGTAGTGGGCCTAGTGTTTTTAGCACTGCTGGTACTACTTGGTAATTATTACTTTTATGCCTGAAAAAACTAATCTGCAAGTGACAAAGGCCAAAAATCTATAGAAAACAAGTGATAAAATTGAATTGTTTTAAAGATCAATTTCACGATACATTTTTGTGGTTCTATAGTTAGGCTTATATTCCAGCACACCAGCTTTTAAGTAAATGAGTTAATATAATTTGACATTAACTCAAGTTTTCAGGTTTCTCAGATGACATAATTTTTTGTGGGCAAAAAAAAATGTAATGACTACAATGATTTTACATAATATTTCTGTCATCACACATACAATACATAATTGCACTAAAATAAGTTAATTGTTGTTCATTCAATTTGATTTCCCCAGTAATTGCTCTGTAAAACAAATATTAGGTTCGTCCTGTCCAAAAATATTCATAATTTTGCTATTTCAGAGCCGAGAGTGATCCTCTCTGTTTCACTTTTCTGTCAGAAAAACTTGGTCTAAAGATGCGTCAGAGAGCAAAAATTCATGCAAGTGAAAACAACTTCCTAAGAAACAAAACAGTTTTTGAGCCAACAATTACAGCAGTGAGATGGATTTTATTACATGGTTCAGTTTGTGGTTTGAAAGTCAGGTTCCCCAGCTTTAATGTAAATGTAAAAAACATTTAAAAGTGGCATGTGCTTTTATTCTCTTTCTTTTATTGTCAGCTGGACTTCTGCTGGCTCTGTTTGTGACCTGTGAGAAAGACTTCATGATCCTGGAGCTTCCAGATTCAGAGGGAACAATGCTGTCCTCACACATGGAGCATCCGGGCACAGACTGCAAGGTTTTCTATCTGCACTTTAGCAAAGGGCCGCACTGAAAAATTGAGAATTAAAATATAGAATGTGTTTAGGTTCCTTTAAACGTGTACGGCATGTCCACGGATGAGCACGCGTCCAGACAACACGACCAAGCCCAGCGCACAGACATGGTGCAGAGTGGTACAGCTGATCCTTTATTTTTTGTTATTTTCACTTATTTCTGTTTGATATTTGGCAGGATATGGAACAAAACATGGGAGGCATGCAGTTAATAGATTATAGTGAGCAATTCTCAACGCAAGTTTCGCAGCAATTTTACCATGAAGGGAATCAGGTAAAGTGCATTTTAGTGATTACATACACTTGTATATGGATTACATACACTCTGATAGAATTTTTTTTCTCTAGTGGGAAAGGTTTGCTGATAAAACAACAGGAGGCCAGCTTTATAAACAGCAGGTATTTTTTGGGATCCGATCCAATGTAGAAACCTCATAAGACAAAAAAATATTCAGTCTGAACTACCAAATTCACCATTATAGAAAATACTGACAAAGTTACCTATTAATTTGTGAAAAAGATAACTCATTACACTTCATATTTGTAATGTTTACATTTACAAAACCAATAATGTCCTTGACTGACTTTTCTATGTCGCTGGAGCTCTAGTGTCACAGAATTGCACTCCATAATTCATAGAATGCGACATGCTAAATATTCAGATACATAAAATCAGTCATTATGTCAGTTTTCTCCTATAGAACGTGAAACTGGTGTGCAGACTATCAATATCACAAATATGAAAATTAGTTTTGAATTGATTTAGGTAGGAACCGCGTGTAAAAGGTTTGTGTAGGCCTTTTGTAGTATGTATAATGGTCAAGACAACATTCAAATGATATTAAAATTAAAGTATGGCAACTGTTCTAACTGGCTGGCTTGTTATAGTAATTCATATGTAAACTCTTGCATTCATCTTTGCAGCTGTCCAGAAAAGCACATTTCAGGCACAACTCAAAGTCAGAAATAATCTGGAAAGAAGCCATAATGATGCTGCTTCATGATGTAAGTTTCTGGCTGCATTTTAAGTTAGCTCTTTGTAAACTCATGTAATTTCCACTGTCCACAGAAGTTACTGTCACTGCAGGAGGCCGAGGAGCAGCTGCAGGAAGACTCTCTTCATATTTACAGAGAGGAGGGAGAAGACTGTACTTCAGAACTGGAACACATTCCCATCCCAGAGACAGACTCCAGCCACTATCTGAACAACCTGAGCCCTGCTTTTAAGAGCCTTGCAGCCATTTGTAGAGAACATTCCAAATGTTAACATCCAATTTGGCACTGTACTCATGCATCAAATGAGGCATTGCCGTTAGATTATAATGTTTCGGAATAACGTAAGCTAGTTCAGTAATTGCCCAAAACTAATATCCAGCTCCTGAGCCATATTGGGATAAAATAAGAGGGTATTGCTTCAAAACCACCGTAGTCTTATTACCATTGCTTTTTTTAAATCAGTAAAATGGCCCAGTTATTAATTGCAATGTAAACTAAATGGTTTCCCACTTACAAATTGGCAAGAATTCTCTAAAGAGCACCCGAAGCCATTTATTATTGCCTCTCCTAAAGCAATATCCAGCTTCAAATGTGGACATAAGTGTCCATAAGAGGCTCCGGTGCACAGAATGCAGGATAAGCCACTGACCAGGATATGAGCGAGTGCTCCGACACAAACTATGTACAGTGCAAGGTGAAACTGCCCCACTCACTCTGAAATATTGAACCAATGTCACAAGTGACTGCCACCCCCACATCTCACTGATATTTTTAGCTATGTCAGTTTGTTTTTTTTGTATTGTAGAGAGTTTGTTTAATAAAAAAAAAAAAAATTACAAAATATTTGTGCCCAATAAGTGATATTTTTGATAATTTAATGGCAACTTCGACAGATTTACAATAGTTAAATCAAACACATTTCATACAATGAGAAACAAGATGCTCCATCTAGTCATCTTTAAGCATACAGGAGACCAAACAAAAATATGCACACTGGCTTAAGAAACTCAGTGCATGCTTCAACTGCTAATCCACATTAAGTTTAGCGGAGAGCTGCAGTTGCAAAGAAAATGTAATCTCCATTACAAAATGACATGTAAAATTCACAAAGAAAAATAGGATACAATTAAGCGTTTCACTGAAACTAATAAGTAGAAAACTAGAATTTAGTTTACAAAACAAAAATTACACCCTCCCACTACCAACTTTTGGGAGGGGCCTCTGCTCAGTGTTGCTCTGGCCTCTGCGTCCTCTGCCACGGAAACCTCTTCCTCGCAGGAAGCGCCCGGGGACCCCAAAGGTTTCCATGTTCAGCTTCTTCTCCTCAGCCCAAGTGGTTCTCCTGCACACAGCACCCTTAGACTCAGGGTCCAGTAACAGAAACGTGAAAGAGTTACCTGGGCTTGAGATCTGAGGAGATGTTGTCAAAGAAGCACTTTGTTTTGTCATAGTATTTTTCTCCAATGCTTTCCTTTTCCTGAATGGCTGGGCTGCTTTCAGCCTCCCCAGATTCCACCTTCTCAACTGCAGAGAACAGAACACATTTTAAGATCACATTCGGCCTATCAAAAGAAACAAGCTGATGCCTACCTTCAACTTCTTTAGTGAGATCATCCTTAAACTGAGCATTTGCAGTTTCAAAATCAAAGTCAGACTCAAACTGTAAAGTGTTGGCCTTTGAGTTCTTCACCAAAAGTTGTCCTTTACTTCGGTTTCTGGATCTGCGATTAGCTAAACAATGACATTTGTACCATTGTGAAACAAAATACACAAATAAAGTAGTGACTGGGAGTACCTTGTTTCTGGCGCCGTTTTTGGTTGTCCGCTTGAGTTTGAACTTTAGAAGCACTTTGTTGAGAAGATGTCCGATCTGCGGAAGGGAGACATCATCTACTGCCCATAACTGGTCAAATGACCACTACTTACTAGAAGGAACATTTTCCTTCTGTCTGGGTGTTTGAGAGTTGTCCTGCTGTTGGCTGGAACGGACACCAGTCTGTCGGCCCAGTTGTTGGACTGGGACCTTCCCCTTCTTCTGACCAGCAGTGGCCAGTGGCACCGTCTGCACGGCCTGTTCAACCATGGGTGCTCTTCTGGTTGGAAAGCCATGAACACCTTGAGAATAAAAGGTGAAGTATATTGCAAAGGGTAAAAGGGAAGATGTTTGCAATAGGGCTGCTGAGGCCAGTTTTGTACATGTGAGGTTACCTAGTCCTAGAGCTGCATTGTACTGCTGATTCAGTAGGGTGCTGGCTGCTAACTGGTTGTAGTTGGGCATCATGTCCCTATATGGGCTCCAGCGAGGGTGGTATCCAGACGAGTTCCCGACAGAAGACTTAAACATAAATAAGCTTTGTATGTTAAGAGTTCAATCATTAAAACAGGATGGATAAGAACAGCCCTAAGCCCGCCATCAACATGTGCTTCACATGTTTTTGTGTGTGTGTCAATGGCCTGGAAACACCATCCATGTGCATAAGTCACTAGCTTTACTATATGGCCTTTGTTGAAAAAAAATATAGCAGGATTCTGTTCCCAGTTTCTATATCATCTGTCAATACACATACTAGTTTGTTTTGCATCCCAGATGTGCAGATGAAGGCTGACAAGTAGTTAACACCGCCTTTTATTAATATGAACGACTGAAAACTACCTGTACAATGGCAGGATCACGTGGCAGCCCGTGGTGCTGCTTGGGAGGCTCAGACACAGTGATGTCTTTGATATCACTTCCTCTGAAGATGATGAACTCGTACACCTCATCTTTGGACGGCACTGGTCTGTCAGTGTGTCGGTCTTCTGTTCCGTACGACTTTACTGAACGACAAATAGAAACGACATTTTAAGTCAAAAGTCGTTGCGAGCGTGTTTCAGCAGCCAAAGAACCAACATTCAGTTTCGCTGCGTACCTTTGGCCAAAGCCACCGTAGACCTGTCCGTGTCCACCGTAGACAGTATGCCCTCATAACGGATCTGTGCTTTGGATATTAAACTTATTTTGCTGCCAATGTACGGGGTTCCGCTACTCATGGCTGCTCTGGAACGGGCTATTTGCTACAAACAAATACAGACGCTGAAGCCTGTGATCCTGAAGAGGAAAGTGTGTCATTAAACAGCACGTGCGGCTTTATCACTGACAGTCATCAGGCGCAGCTGCGCTAAGACCATACACGCTCTGTGCATAACACTGCCCCTGGTGGACACAGCGGGCTACTGCATGTGCACTCAAACTCGCTCAAGAGACATGTTGCATTTAATGCTGCCAAATGGAGTTAAAGTAAAGACACATGCACACATGTGTTTCCTGTCCTGTTCAGAATAGCATTTTTGCTTCCATTTCAGTAGTGTCACTGTGTATGATTTTGGACCCTGAGTCCGTAATAAAGACTTCATTCTTTCATTCATATGAAGTATTAAAGAACTTACAGAATATATAAGTGTTTATTATTTTAGAGCAGTGTCTCCCAAAGTGGGGTCCGCGGACCCCTGGTGGGCCGCGAGGGTACTGCAGGGGGGCCGCGGGAGGTCATAAAAAAAATAAAAAAATTATATAATTATTTAATGTTAAATGTATAATGTTTTGTTTGTAATATTAAAATATTTGTGTTCATTATTTGACTTGAATAATCCACTGTAATCATTTTTGTATTACAATGTTTGTAGCAGAGGCTATTTCCCCAAAATAAAATAACCAGAAGAGCCTATTCTTAATGTTGTCTTCTTGGTTATTATTTTGGGGGGCCACACAGACCCGACAGATTTTTAAGGGGGCCTCGGTGTTACTGAGTTTGGGAATGGCTGTTTTAGAGAATCAGTGAGGTTGAACCCCAGAATATTGTAAGCTGTAGTAGGAAGCATAAGTTGCAAAAGTACCAAGTATACCTTCTCAAAAAAATTCTCAGGTAAGCTGTGGCTCTATACGCAATCTTTCATAGTGGCTTTAGTTGAAAAGGCAACCTGTACAATCACCTTGTTCCACACATTTGACTTCCTAACTGGAAATACATCCCAAAGTTGTGAAGTTTATTATCAATCCATTTAATGTAAATTGGGAAACTTGGTTCTCGTGATCTACACGAGGCCTTTTTGTACATACTGATTATGGTAATATTGTATGGTACGTTTTGGATTCTCAAAGATGCTTCACTAGTCATTATTAATTTACTGGAGGCAAGCATAGACTTCGAATATTAGGTAAGATATAATTTATTGTCCCTGTAAACAAATTTATCCTTTGCAATAAAAGTGCAGCCTCTGTGGACTCTCCTGATATTGAAGTGTCTTGCTTAAAGACACAACTGTTTAACACATGGCACCTGGGGTTCCCTACGGTCTCCCATCACAAATACTTTTTATTCCCGAAATAAACGTGTTTAAACCATTGACTGTAAATATTAAACGAATCATTACAAACGGTTAGCCTGATTTTGGTGGGAAGAGAAACATAATAAATGCATTCACGGTCTAAAAACAAGTCCTCAAGGTACTATTCAGTCACGAGTGAGTGTGTATCTGGAGCTCTGTATCTCCGTAAACAGAGGGTGTGGCGCCCTCAATCGCCTCTTTACAACAATTTCACTTGGTGGTGGCCAAAACGCTGCAGCCATCTTGCTTAGCTTGTAGACAGCAATTAAACAGCTAAATGTGTCTAATTATCTTGTTGCAAACTAAGCTCCAACACCGAAAAACATGGCGTAAACCCATTTAGGAAGTAATCATCTAGAATCCATGAGACAAATCGTATGCAGGGCTGAGAACTTTGACGGCGCAACTTCATCTCCGCTGCGATGTTGCTCGGTCGCGGACATCCCGGGAATGACAGCTGAGGCCATTGGTTCCGCCTTTTACGGCTCGCCTCAGCCAATCAGCACGCGCCCTGCCGTTCGCGCTGAGGCGGCTGCACGCTGTGCGCATGCGCACGTCAGTCCGCAAGCCCTCACTTCTCACAAGCTGCAGAAGTGTGAAGATGGCGGTTGGCTCTGGCTCGATGGATAAGCTTTTTATACTTTCTGAGGTGAATAAAGATGTAACATGTCATCAGCTGCAAGCTAGAGGCTCACAACTGATTTTCTTGTGCAATAGAAACGCTTTATTAGCGAGACAAGCGGTTATTACACAGTAATAGTTCCGGGACAAGGAGTAATGCGAGCTAATGTCCAGCTGGGACTTGTGATTGCTAAAGCAGGTACGCTCTGTAACTACTACTGATGATGTTTTACTCTTTATTTTCCCTTCTCAAGTACAAGCAACAAACATCAGAAAATATCGGGGGACTATTGCCTATTCGACACTTCCCTGCTCCTTCTCTCCAACTTAAAGTGGTGAGGGGCTGTTAATAACCAGTCCCCATGGTTAAAGTATGGACGCGCCGACGAGCAGCACTGACTCCTCTGGACCCGAGCCTGGCAAACCACTTGTGAGCGGCGGGGTAACTTCTTTGCCCGCTCCACAGGGGAAAGTCGACTTGTTGCCTGTGCAGACTCTGAATGGGAGCCAAAGTATGAAATCTCACAGTTCAGGAAGCGCAGCCCCTCTCCTCGGGGCTGCAGCGACAAGTGTATCTGGAAACAGCGGCAGCAGCAATGGCACATCAGCCAACAGTGGGCCAATGTTGACTAAAGGGCTGTCTACGTCTAATAGCGTCATTCAGCCGTCTCCCATAAACTCTCAGACCCAAACTGGGACCCAGGTTCCAGGGGCCACTGTGACACTTGTTAGACCTCCTATGCACACAGTGGCTCTCAATGGCAACAACAATGAGAGCCCTTCAGCTGTCAATTCTACAGGTATCAGCCTACATGCTCCTCTAACAAACAACAACCCGGATCCCAACACAGTTTCTGTCACCACAGGCTCCAATGTGATCAAGCAGGAGCCCACAACTACAATAATACAGTCCCCTCCTCAGCAGGCGGTCAGTCCCCGGACCCCTGTCTCTCTTTCTGCCAGTTCAGGTGGAGTTCGAACCCTGACTCCACAGATGTTGGCCCCAAGACTCTCCCAGCCTGCTCCTGGACAGCCTAGTGTGCATAACATCCAACTCCCACCAGGTGAGGAAAGGCCTGCACAATTATTCAAATCAACATAGCATTTTTTTTGTGGTCGTAATTAGCAAATTGCAAAGAATGTAATTATTTGGAATTGAAATGGAATTTCAACAATATATCTCACTCTGCATGTAATTAGTCTATACAAAATATTGGTTTTACATTTTAAGTAAAAAAAAAAAAAAAATTAACTCGATATTCTAATGTTGTGAAAAAAGATTGAAACAACTTCGTTCAAGCATTTCTGCAGTGAATCTTTTATTTGCTTGTGCTATAGGTTAGAAAATTGGGAATCCTGTTTGTCAAATGGAACTCTTTAGGGTGTAATTTTTGATATAAAAAAATGAGACTTTTTAAACATACAGAATCGCAATGTAGGTCAGAAGTATTGCAATATTTACTATATGTATATATTTAGCCGCAATTTTAATGGTGATGGGTGATGAGGGGGACATCTCACACATCAAAACATATTTGGTTTTGATGTGTGAGATGTACGCAGAAATACCTTGCAATATTTGGATGTCTTTTATTGTTTTTATTAATTATTTATTATGGTTATTGTTGAGCACTAAAGCATGCATATGGAACAAATGTTCAGACAATATTGTCTGACAACCAATTTGTCCACAAGAATATATATAATGTTCTATAATGTTTTTTTTTTTTTCATAAGAACTTTTTGTGACCTGTTCATGTGAAATGCACAATATAAATGAATTACTTCGACCAAAAACATGCCATATTGATCAACTCAAAGGAAAGCGTGAAAGGAAATTCCAAGCTCTGGAATTCACATAATAATTTACATACATAAAAGTATTTATGTAAAAATGTAAGCTGAACTCTGGTTAACTCACTCTATCCTTGCTTTCTGCTTATGTGCAAATCATTGAAATAAGTTGTCAACTAATTTAGTATTTAGTGTTTTGAAACTTTCATCAACCTAAACATACTATGAAGATGTTCTCCAGGGGCATCACTTGAGCTTTTGATCAAATCTATAAGAAAAATCCCATAATCACTAAGCTTTCGGGTTCTAAACAACTAAATTTGATTAATTGAAAGAATATCGGCCAACTAATTGATTATAAGAATAATGGTGAATTACAGCGCTCATAAAGATTCTTGTCATCTCCTAAGCAACACAAAACGCAATGTTAATAGTTTAAGCAAAGGACAATTCTGTGAGATTGAGATTGGGGCTGTAGTAAACGATCGAAAGAGCAAAAATCTCAATCTCAATGGAGAGCAAACGATCATGGGACTGAGGAGGAGGTTTCCTTAACACAATTGTCGAAAAAGACAGAAGCCATCTTATATATCTCTTCATTCGTCTTTCACAATATAAGGTTAAGTTTTAGCTCTTGCAGTATACAATGCATTTCAAAAAGAAAAAAAAAAATCTATTGAAAAGTCCAAACTGAGTATTATGAATGATCGAATCCCCAGATTGCACAGCCCTATGCGAGCCTATGACAGGATAATATAATGTTTAATGATGTGTTTTGTGTAACTCTGTAGGGATGGTGCTGGTGCGCAGTGAGAGTGGACAGCTCCTGATGATTCCTCAGCAGGCTCTAGCCCAGATGCAGGCCCAGGCTCATGGAGGCATGGCACCGCGGGCTGCCGCTCCGACAAACATGCAAACTCCTGGACAAGTAAGAAAGCCTTGTACATGCTCCTTTATTTTCAATTTGTATTTCAACAGTAAGCACTCACAAAACTGCTTGATATTAGGGAATGTTGAAGCACTTCTCAGTCACAATTTGTCTTTGACAAATTGACAACTACTTTTGTGTTGATATGTTTTTCACAGACTCCAGGAAATGCTGTGATAAGTCGACCTGTGGCCCCCAGCACTGTCCTCCGACCAGGAGGGCCTGTGTCCACCCCTCTTCCAAAGACCACCACCCTTCACAGACCCCCTGTTCTCCAGGTAACGGGCCTATTTTTGGAACATGACGGAAAATCAACTTATATGACTATAAATGTTTTCCTGCTCGTTCACTCACTCGAAGTAGAAAGAAACTTTAGCATTTCAGTCATTTGCCTCTCTTGCATTCTAATCGCTATAGCTCTGATGATCCCTGTTTAACTGCCATCATTACAGAACGTTACCTGTTTTTTATCGTACTCGCAAACTTAAAATAGGTCATTTACGTGAATCATGTCGATCTGATTCTGCAATAATAGAAAATTATAATTTGGGGGTAGGGCGGTAGAGATTTGAACCCAAAGTAAAATGTTTAGACATTGCTATGTCCAAACAGAAATAAGATAAAGTAACTACTGCAAGTTACTGTGCTTTAGTCAGTGCTTGTGGAAGGTGGTGGAGTAAGTGGTCTATTCTCCATGTTGAAACATATAACGCTGTATTGTGGACTTCAGCTGTAGATCTGTCTGTTACATACTTTGTTGTATGGTGGATGAGTATGCAGCATCTCACAGGCATTTTGAAACAAATCTGTTGTTAGGATTAATGCCGCCTGGCTGTACAATAAAATCTCCTTTATTTATGCTCAATTGTTGACTCTTTCTTCCCACAGAGTGCAGTTGGTTCTGCAGTGCCAGGCCTCAACCCCAGAGCTCCTGGACCCACACTTACCTCATTAACATACAGTAAAGTAAGCTCCTCCCTGTTCTCGCTTCTGTCATCACTGTGTGCTGAGGAAGTAGAAATGACCAAAAATAAAAAATAAAAATCTTTGTGTGACCATGGTCTTCAAAATGTGCTATATAAAGATTGTCCTCCTGCTCTGAAGTGCAACTCACCAGTGGTTATTTGAACACAGAAGGAGCGCCTCTTGTGCTGCACAGACATTAACATTTTTATTTTGTTTCATATTTTTTGTATTTATTATTTTGCTATTTTTATTTGTCCAGGAGACGATGGAAAATGTCAACAAATGTAAGAACTTCCTGTCTACATTAATTAAACTGGCATCAACTGGGAAGCAGTCGACTGAGACAGCAGCGTGTGTGAAAGAATTGGTGAAAGACTTACTGGTGAGTGTTCTAACACAGGTGAACCGACTAAACTGTCCTGCTCTTACATTTATATACTAACCTGCATCCTGTCGACGTTTCGTCACCTTAGGAGGGCAGACTGGAAGCTGAGGAATTCACCAGCAGACTGTACAAAGAGCTGAACTCCTCCCCCCAACCGTACCTAGTGCCTTTTCTGAAGGTACAAGCTCACGTAGTATACACTTAATAACACACATATATTATTCAACATAAACTCTACTTTCAACTTTGAGACCACAAAAAACAATGTCACAAAATTGTAGTTTCATTGCTCTCAACACAGTTTGGTTTTTCACTAGTTATGTGTATACTGTATGTGGCCTGTGTCACATCTTTCAGCTTTTTCAGACCCTCACTCACAAACTCAGCTCTCAGTATTTACAAATAAAGACAGCATTGTTCAAAAAAGTTACTTAAACAAGACTCTTTCTGTTGGGACAAACAAAATGTATTGTACTGTATTTTTGTAACCAAAACAAAAAAACAACTTTAAAATGCTAAATGATACAGAAAACCTCCAGAAGATATTATGATCGAATTCCTGGATGCTAACTATGGATCAATTATAATATCTCGATAGGGTATTACTAGCTTCTAGCTGAAGCACTCACAGGCTCGCGAGTTTGCAGCCTGTGAGTTCTTCAGACTAAATAAGACTAAATAAGACTAAATTCACATGGGCTACCCAAAAATTGTCCCCATGGATCTCAATGTAAACTAAACCAGCTCGACCTTAGCTGACAGAGAACCTACAGCGTTCAAAAAGGTCGGATTTTGTGGGGATTTTAGTGTCCCTTGTCATCCTGAACTGTGTTTCTTGTTAAATCCATTGGTTTTCTTTAAATCCACACTTTAGTGCCACAAACTCTGCCCGTTTTCTTCCCGCTCTAACTCAGCTCTGATCAGCAGCGCCTGATTGGTCAGAATGCGACTGTGCTCCTCTATGCATGAGAGCCACACACGCATGCTCGTTAGTAATTGGCTCAAAGCATCATGGGAGGTCGTCCATTGCGCAGAACCGGGAGGACCATAGATATGCCCAAATTTGAGCGAGTTCCGATAATATTTCAGTGCCCATGGTGGCACATGCGCTACTGAGCACAAGCCATTGATTTTATTACGCCGCCATCTTTCATCGCCGGGGCTTGATGCTAATGAGTGTGTGTCAAGCCCCGGCGATCCAAGATGGCGCCCTATTCAAATGAATGGTTGTGCTCAGTGGCGCTTTGTGACGGCATGGGCGCTGAAAGATTAGCGGAAGTCGCCTGGAACTCGCAAAGATCTATGGGAAACTCGCAAAGATCTATGGGAAACTCGCAAAGAACTTTGGGAAACTCGCAAAGATCTATGGGAAACTCGCAAAGATCTATGGGAAACTCGCAAAGATCTATGGGAAACTCGCAAAGAACTTTGGGAAACTCGCAAAGATCTATGGGAAACTCGCAAAGATCTATGGGAAACTCGCAAAGATCTATGGGAAACTCGCAAAGAACTTTGGGAAACTCGCAAAGAACTTTGGGAAACTCGCAAAGATCTATGGGAAACTCGCCTGTATTTGGGCATCGTCTGGTCCTCCCGGTTCTGCGCAGTGGATGATCTCCCATAATGCGTTGCGCCAAACACGCGTGTGTGGGTCTCACACCAGGTCTCACGCACGCGCACAGAGGGGCTCGGCCGCGCTCTGACCAATCAGAGCAGTTCATCAGAGCGGGAGTTAGAGCGAGAGCCAGACGAGCAGAGTTTGTGGCACTAAAGTGTGGATTTAAACAAAACCGAAGGATTTAAGAAGAAAAAAAGTTCAGGATGACAAGGGACACTAAAATCCCCACAAAATCCGACCTTTATGAAAGCTGTAGGTTCTCTGTCAGCTGAGGTTGAGCTGTTTTAATATGCATTGAGTCCTATGGGGAAAATTTCTGGGTAGCCCACGTGAATTTAGTCTGGTTCAGTCTGCAGTACCGCGAGAATCCCCCGAGCACATGAGTTATTCAGCTACAAGCTAGTAATACCCTATCCAGTTAATATAATAGATCCATGGTGTGTGTATATGTTGTGCAGAGGAGTCTTCCGGCTTTGAGACAACTCACCCCAGACTCTTCAGCCTTCATCCAGCAGGGCCAGCTCCCTCAGCCCAGTCCAGCCTCAGCCTCCACTGCTTCCACAGTGATCCTCAGCAGCCCAGGGCCTCGTGTCACTGCGTCCATCACCAGACCCCTCCTCCCGCCCGGTGTTCCCAAACCAGGACTGTCTCCCTCCCTGGTAAACTACTGGATCTAGATGTTTCATTTAAACAAAGCACAGGACTAAATGTGAATGTGCACAGGTTCTCCAGACTCCCCAGCAGAGAGCCATGGTGAGACCTCAGGTAACCCCGCCCACAGCCTCCATGGTGACACTCAGGAATCATGCACCGAGTCGAATCATTCTGGGGCACCCGCAGGTCCAGCTGCAGCCAGGTCAGAGGGACATTCTCATTCGCTCTACCCTCATTAGAGCTGAGATACTTCTGTAGCTGTCAGCCTTTGTAGAAGTAGTCGTTCAGAAGAACTAAATCGCCATTCATCTTTCATTTACTGCTAATAACAAAAGGTTAAAACCAATTTCTCGTTGCAAGACTGTAAAGTTTCACTTTACAGTTTAAATGTAAATTGTCTCCATTCCCTAAATTAGAACAATTGATTACAAACTGGTTACAAATTTATTAGGCTTAGATAATGTTTTAAGTATATTGTCATTAAATAATAATAAATAAATGTATATTTGTTATAAATGTATTTCATTATGAAACATTTTTGGTATATAAAACTGTAAACTGTGACATGTTTACAGAGCAAGAGCTCTGGTTGTACTGGTGCACTCTGAGGTAGTCTTGCTCAGTTTGTTCAATTTGGTTTTACTGCAAATGGCAAATAAAATGTTGTATCTTATATTTTATCGTGTGAATATAAAGAAAAGTGATGTAGTTTATTATCACTACACCTTTTGTCTTCTACAGCTCTGACTCTGGCTCAAAGAAACAAGCTGAAAGAGGCTGGTGGCACATTCAAGTAAGTTTTTACAATATTCCTTTGACTTTTCGAATGAAAGAAAAAAGCTCATTCTGTAAGAGCTACAATTCTTTGGTAGAGAAATATATTTTCTCTACCAATATTTCATCAAACATACAGTGGCATGAAAAAGTTTTGAACCCCCCATGACCACAAACATAATGTGCCATTAACTGCAGTAAGTGTAGACAGATGTGAAGTGAAAGCAAAATTATACATGATTTCTTCTGATTATTCAGATATTTTTCTATTATATATTTTATTTTAAATAAACTGCATAGTAGGACTTGCAAAAGTAGACTTTTTCTAATTCTTCTTTGCATGACAACTCAAGCGCCATCACATTAGATGGAGAGAATTTCTGAACAGCAGTTTTTAGAGCTATCCACTGGATTGGAAAGATCAGGACAATATTTTAGTTTTAACCTTTTATTTTTGATTTTTTATGTGATTAAATTTTTTAGTTCTCTTTGGCTTTCAATTCTTGCCTGGACTAAAGCTGGACTAAAGCTAAATAAGGCTAAATATTGTGAACAGATGAATGAGGTCATTGTAGCATAACCAGCTGCCAACAATCAAGGGCTTGGGATTCCCATTCATTTAAACAAGGGGAGACATCATGAGAAATGTGGGGCCAAACAGAAACATGAATTGGACCGTATGTGACCCCTAGACCGTACTTTGCCCAGGTCTGGATTAGACTGTGCTCTGCGAGATGTTCAAATCACAGGATATCTTTGTATAACCTAACCAGGCATTTAAAGGTACAGTAAAGGATTCATGTTAGCTTAGCAGTAGCAGCCGAGTAACACAGAGTCAAAACCACTCAAAAAGCAGGGGGGGTCCGCTCCAAAATATTTATGATTTATTTTTTGAGGCTACAGGGAATCTGGTCATGTCCATTCCTATTTAAAACCACATGATAACTTTTGGGGTTTAGGGAGGTTTCCCGACAGTAGTTTACAAATTGCGTCTGATATGGTTATAAATGATTGACTGCATCTTTAATTTCTCCCCAACTTCATCCTGACCTCTGTGGTGGGCCCCTGTAGCTGTAATCATACTGAGATTAGATTGGACTCTATAGTTAGGTTGACATTTCACCTTTCATTAGGAAAACTTCTGAACGCAGTTGGCCACAGTCTGCAAAGAAACCCCCTGTTTACTTTTCTAATGAAATAATTTTGTTTCCACATTACATATGTTTACCATGTTGTGGTTGTGACGTTACAAAATGTTTCCAAGGCCCTGGCTGACATGACTTATGTCCATATGCAGAGATGACGATGACATCAACGACGTGGCCTCTATGGCTGGAGTCAACCTGACTGAAGAAAGTGCGAACATCCTGGCCACTAACTCCAGTCTGGTGGGATCCGTGACACATTCTTGTGAAGATGAAGCCTTCCTCTCCTGTGCTTTACTACAGAGGAGGATGTCAGAGATCGGTGTGAATGATTGATCCGTGTCTAGTGTCTTACTGCGTTTGTTTCAGATTGAAGGACTTTTGTGTTGTCTTAAGGTCGGAGACAGGGGGTCACCGATTTTGGGACAGACGTGGTGAAGCTGGTGTCTCATGCCACTCAGCAACACCTGCAGACTCTGCTGGATAAGGTTACACAGGTCGCTCAGCACAAAAACTTTGGTTTCAAGGTTGGTAGAATTTGATTGAAAAAAAAAAAAACACTTAAAAAAAATAAATAACTGCATTTCTCCATCTGTGTGAGATAATAAAGGATTGATTGATTGATTGAAAAGGCTGAATATTATTAGGAATAATAATGTATATATTTTGGCATATTGGTAAGGTAATTCTGCCCTCTGTTGGTAGGAGGATGAAAAGTTTGAGCAGAGCAGTGACGTTCGTGCACAGCTCAAGTTTTTTGAGCAGTTGGACCAGATGGAAAAGCAACGAAAAGAGGAGCAAGAGAGAGAAATACTTCTAAAGGCAGCTAAGGTAACGCACTGCAGACGATTCCCTCACTGTTGGTTTTGTATAATCCCAGAAAACAGCTTGGAAATTAGAAGAATCTTTCCTGTCAATCCCTAATTTATGGTTATAGCAATGTCTGAGGATCATAATGATACATTTTGAACATTTAAAATATAAATATAAATTGAAAACAATGTTATTAATGTGCACCTGCCTCTGCACCTTGTAGTCTCGAGCTCGGCAAGAGGACCCAGAGCAACTGCGACTGAAACAGAAAGCAAAGGAGGTAAAACAACGCTCTTACTATTATTTCTATTTTCTGATGACAATCATTTCAGTGCATGTTTTTGTCTAAATGTCCCAGATGCAGCAGCAGGAGCTTGCACAGATGCGGCAGAGGGAGGCCAACCTAACAGCTCTTGCAGCCATCGGTCCCAGGAAGAAAAGAAAGATCGGGGACTTTTCTTCCTCTTCCTCTGTTTCTGAGGTAAGACCGGACCCAGATGTTAACATTGGATTTGTATGTTTCTAAATGTACACGTGTCCGTCACATGTGACAGGGCTCCGGAGCAGGCTCGGCGTCTGCAGGCTCCTCTGGTTCTGGCTCCAGACCCACACGGCAGCGCATCACACGTGTCAACCTCAGGGACCTGCTCTTCTGTCTGGAGAACGAGAGACACAGCAGTCACTCCCACTTCCTGTACAAGGGCTTTCTCAAATAGACTCATATGGGACAGAGCAGAGAAGAGCACAGACTCTCAGTGACGACAGGAGGAGGCAGACTGTCTCAGTAATCAGAGACGCCCACGCCTCGCTCCTCACTTCCCTTTATCTTGTCGGAGACACTCATCTGCATCTGGTTTCCAAGTGCTAGGTTGTTTTTATGACAAGACATTTGTATGAATAAGTGACTTATTGTATAATTATGCACTGTATTAACTACAGTTTATTTTCAGATAATTTTATGCACAGATAAAAACAAATCAAGATATTTTTTGAATTAAAACATATATTTTAAATTTTGTTTAAAGTGATTGACTTAGTTCCAGACTGTGTAACCTACTGAGTTGCCTTCCTAAATGAAGAAGCCATATAGCCACCCCTGAAGCAATTATCCTGCTGTAACTAAAAGCAGTAGTTTGTGCTTTGCTATGCCATCTGTGGTTACTGTACTTGATTTTTAAAATTGTATTTATTTACTAAACATGGACTTACATGAGCGAGAGCGCTTAGTTATTTATTAACACGCAACAGCCTGCTTGATCTGATATAAAACCCAACTGGACATGTGAGTATGGAGAAGATGAATTTGAAACACATATTATTTTATTCAAGAAATTTATTAGTAACCCCCCAAATCATGTTTTGTTTTCCTTGTGTAACTTCCTCACCTCATATTGTTCTTCTTGAACCTCATGTTGATCTTTTGTATTGTGTGGGTTTTCAGATTTTGAAGCATCCAAATGCTTTTCTTTTGCAGCTGTTTGTTTTGTTTATAAGAAAATGTAGTTTTAACATCATTGTTATTTTACACAATTGTTTACCACAAAATCAACCTAAAATCTTCTCTATTTTTCTAGAATGCCACCCTCAAATGTTTTTACTTTTGAAATGACTTGTACATCTGATAACACATGCTTCTATCTTGGTGTGCTACTGATTTTATAGGTTTTGACTCAAGTTTCTTGTACATTTGTAAATGTATCTAAAGTTTTACAGATTTCTATAGAATCAAGAACTTAACCCACACGGAAAAAAATCAAAGCATTTTCTCTATCATAACATTGAATAAATATTAATTTTTGTAATAACTGAAAGAAATGAATTGATTCTCTTTTCATGTTTTATATTGAATTAACATATTTAATGAAAAGAACAATTGCTATTTTTAAGCTAATTTCTAACACAAAATGTTCTAACTCTGGAAACACACAACTCACACCACACACTACTCAGATCTCTGAACCTGCAGGAATACAGCTGTTTCTCGAGGCCAACTGGAATCCTAGTGCCCTTTGTATCATGTTGACACATGCTTTTTTCCCTGCTCTTCCAAAATTATGACTTAAGAAAACTTTGATATATATACAAAGTTTTATTGATCTTTTTCTTTATGATTGGATTATTTTGGACTTTTCAACTATTTCTGCTCTGATCATACTTATGTGGTTTTTGTAGATATGGCCACTGGGAGGCAGTATTGCATAGCTACTGTATATTCAAGTCAGTAAAGAATTCGTAAAGATGCAGTAAGTCTATATTCTTTATTTCTTGTGATGGAAAAAGTCTCTTCATCACTAACGGTCTTTGTAACAAATGACAAAATGTGAGCTATAGTCCTGTCCCAAAATGCCCTTATTCCTTCTAAGTCCTGCATTCCTCATGCTGAAGGAATGTATTTTAAACAGGTTCAGAAGGATTGATCCTGTCTGTGGGACAGTGTCTTGTCTGTGGGACAGTGTCCTGTCTGTGGGACAGTGTCCTGTCTGTGGGACAGTGTCTTGTCTGTGGGACAGTGTCCTGTCTGTGGGACAGTGTCCTGTCTGTGGGACAGTGTCTTGTCTGTGGGACAGTGTCTTGTCTGAGGGACAGTAGCCTGATGCTTTGTGGGACAGCAGCCACTATAAGTATCAAAGGTTCAACTTTACAGTATATTTTTTCTCTGATGCCAGAAGTCAAAATGAGATTCCTGGCTGGGTTCTCCCTGAGAGATAGGGTGAGAAGCTCAGTCAAACAGGCGGTGCTCAGAGTAGAGATGCTGCTTCTCCAGGTGGAGAGGGAGGAGACCCCAGAGAAGACCTAGGACACGTTGGAAGGATGTTTCTCAGCTGGCCGGGTTGCCTTTGGATTCCCTCGGATGAGCTGCAGGAGGTGCACGTGGATAGGGAAGTCTAGATGTTTCTGCTCATACTGCTGCCCCCCGCAACCCAGCAGCAGATCCAGGATGGAGGGATGCTTTTCATACAAATAATGCAACACAAAGTGCTCTAACAAGCCCATTGACCCAACACCCAACAGACACACCCCAAACCACAGTCTAGTCCCCCAGGCCCGAGCAAGAACCTAAAACCTTTGAAGGTCACAGCATCCTCGTCAGGTGTTGGTTCTTTCCATAGAGCTCTACAGTCTTGTTAAACTTGAAACATGTGGTTTTGTGTCCCATTCTACTTTTGTGGAACGACAATGTCTGAGCCTCAGAGGTAAATGATGGATGATCCTGTGGAGCTCCTGCACCTGTTTGTGAACCTGCTTTTCAGCCTGGTTGCATCAGAGTATTCAGAACGAACCTTTAGGTTGAGCCGTCTGCATGTTGGAAAGAAGAGCTGTTCATTGTAGCAAGTTTATGACAAAAGATGGTGCTAACATTTTTGAGGTTATGTCTGGAGCTCTTGGATCAGAGCTTTACTCCAGACTGTCGATGTTTCAAATTTGGCATCAACATGTTCAGGCATCTGTATTTAGGCACAGGTAAAACCAACATCAGCTCATGACTAATGACTAATGACTGATGACTAATCACTGTCAAGATGCAAACATGAAAGACTGAGGCACTCAAAAAGCGATATTGTCAGAAGCCTTTATTGCCACTTGGCTAATGACTTAAAAAGCTGATGTGTTTCAGCAGAGGGCCTTCATCAGGACATTGGTCTAAAACTGCCTCTGTGCAGTTTTAAGGCTGTTGGCAGAGGTCACAGGTCACAGCTGGGAGGTGCTGGGTCACCGTGTGGAGCAAACTCAAATGAACAGTTGATGAATACACATGACATGAGGCTGCACATGACATCAAAATATACATGATCAGTACACAAAATGCTAAAATGTTTAAAAGATCCTTTATGACCCTATGGAAAAGGAGAGAAATATAATGCCCCATTAAGACCAGGAAATGTAGTTCTTTTAAAGTACAGATCCAGAAAGATTCTCTATGAAGTATTTTCTGTCTTTCTAGGACTAAGAGCACCAACCTGTTCTGTCATCTCCAGTTTTGATTGATTCTTGTTTTATTGCATGTGCTTCAGTGCTGTTCGACATTTACTCTTTTGGTTCCATCCCTTTTCAAACTGTTAAAGGAATGGCTGACTGTGCTTATTGAGCATAGCCCCTGTTTTAAATCTATGGCTCATATTGTCAGAATTATTCTTCCAAATCTGCATCAGTGTCAATCAAGGGCGTAGGTTTGCGTGGGGACCATGGGGACATGTCCCCACCAATATTTGGTGAGGACTAAAAAGTCCCCACCAAAATGACATGATGTCCCGTGACCCGGACGGTCCGGGACACATGTCTTCCGTTTGTGCATACGTCGCGCCTCCTCCTCGCCTCCAGAGCAACAGCAGCAGCAGCAGCACGTGACCCGTTCCGTTCTCTGCAGTGATTGGCTGTCTTCTTCAGCGCCAAACTGAAGCACTGAGCAACTGTTTAATTTTTAAAAGTTAGCCAGCGTGAAGCAAGTGTTTTTTTTCGTTCCCTGAGCGTTGTAGCACGTGAGTAATCAGAGGAAAGTACTGTAGATCTATTACCATTCAAAGTACTTACGTTATTTCTAATCTGTCAGCGCACTGTTTAATGTTCCGAGGAGCTCATACGGCACAGACACAGAACAGAACTGGCTCCAATAAAGAAACAGGTTGGTTGAAAGGCTGAAAAAATACTTATTGTGCTCTTACTATCCAAAATGTATAAGTGGGTGTGTTGTGTGAATCAGGATAAACTAGGGATAAAAATATTCCACGGATCCACGATTTACAACCTTTATCTGCTGATAATGTAATTTCTGTGAAATGTGTGACAGCGGGCACTTGCTGTTATTTGCTCTAAGCACATTCAAGCGATGCACTCGAATGTGCACGTCCTGGTGCAGCTGCTGCCGCTTTGTAATGACAGCCGCGGCGCTCAGTGAAAGCACAGCTCTAACATGGTACCGAGCTCGGACCATATGCAGACAGAACCATGTTGCAAGTGCGGGTCTCCCTCGTATCTCCCCCGTTTCTCCCCTGTGTCTCTGACATGTCTCTCCCCTGACTCTTCCCAAAGCGCAACCAGCGCTCCCGAAATTAAAGCTCGGATACCTAAATGTTCCATTGCGTTAACGATGCATGCTGGTTGTGCGCAAAACACACCACAACAGGTCATTTAAGTTTTTATTCTGAATACTTGAGAACCCTGTTAGTCATTACTTGCCTTTTTGGGTAGAGAGTGGAATAAAAAAAAGAAAATATAGAAAAATCGACACTGTTACTTATTGCCAAACTCTTGTTAACTCATTGTATTGAGAAATACTATGTAACTTTTGACATTGGCCAAGTTATATAAATGATTCTGCAGTTCATGTATATGAATGTCTGTTTTTGATTGTCTATACCTTCTTATATAATTTAGAAAAAATGCCACCTCCACAAAAAAAGATAAAAGATATCAGGAGCTTTTTTAACAGTTGGAAAGTAAGTAAGAGAAAGCACAAGTAATAGCAAATTATGAATTGTGATGATTAATCTTCTGTTAACATACATAGGAAACTCAACCAACAAGAGAGAACAATATAGGGAATGTTGAGGTAGAAGCAACAGGCCCTTCAGTGCATCAGGTGAGGTTGGAATTTTGTAGGTATGCATGGGACTATGAATTGTTTTTAGAGATTGATCGTATATGTCAAACAATGTAGTGAGATACTCACTGTAGATTCTAATTCAATATTTTCTCCTCTGTTTTTATTTATTATAGG